GATTTCAGAGCTGGGCCTCTGCCAGAGCCTTCCCTTTAGGGCCACAGCTGCTCCTCTTTAGAAGACCAAGAGCTTTGCTTTTCTTTCTGAATTCTTTTTTTTTTTTTAATAGCAAATTATACCAGTTATGCAGAAGATAGCATCAAATAGATGTGGACCATTTAAAGGCCGGGCGCAGTGGCTCATGCCTGTAATCCTAGCACTTTACTTTGGGAGGCTGAGGTGGGTGATCACTTGAGGTCAGAAGTTCGAAACCAGCCCGGTCAACATGGTGAAACCCTGTCTCTATTAAAATACAAAAAAAAAAAAAAAGAATAGCTGGGTGTGGTGGTGGGCGCCTGTAATCCCAGCTTCTTGGGAGGCTGAGGCAGGAGAATTGCTTGAACCTGGGAGGCGGAGGTTTCAGTGACCTGAGATGGAGACATTGCACTCCAGCTTGGGCGACAGAGGGAGACTCTGTCTCAAGAAAAAAAGTAAAAATCCTATATAAAGAAAAAACATATATATATGCATATTTGTATATATGTAAATACATTTTAAATACAACTTAAATAATACTTTAAAAAGAGATTTCCGGCCAGGTGCAGTGGCTCACGCCTGTAATCCCAGCACTTTGGGAGGCCGAGGCGGGCGGATTATGAGGTCTGGAGATCAAGACCATCCCGGCTAACATGGTGAAACCCCGTGTCTACTAAATATACAAAAAATTAGCCGGGCGTGGTGGCGGGCGCCTGTAGTACCAGCCACTTAGGAGGCTGAGGCAGGAGAATGGCATGAACGTGGGAGGTGGAGGTTACAGTGAGCTGAGATCACGCCACTGTACTCCAGCCTGGACGACAGAGTGAGACTCTGTCTCAAAAAAAAAAAAGAAATTTCCTGGCAGGGAGCGGTGACCCACGCTTATAATCCCAGTGCTTTGGGAGGCTGAGGTGGGCAGAGGAGTTGAGACCACCCTGGGCAACATGGCAAAACCCTATCTCTACAAAAAATAGAAAAAAAATTAGCTGAGTGTGGTGGCGCACCTCACAGTCCCAGCTACCTGGGAGGCTGAGATGGGAGGATCACTTGAGCCCGAGGGGCCAAGACTGCAGTGAGCTGAGATCACCCCATTGCATTCCAACCTGAGTGAAAGAGTGAGACCCCGTCTCAAAAAAAGAGGGAAATATATATATTATACATATAATAATACGTATTTCTTTAAATGAATGCTAAAGAAATGCATAAATATAAATATGTAAGTGTATATGATATATATTTCTTTAAATTTAAAGAATAGTTAAAGAATACATATACATGCACATATTTGTGTATGTATTTAAATCATTTTAAGTACAATTGAATAAATACACTCGTGTATTGCTTAACGATGGGGATATGTTCTGAGAAATGCATCGTTAGGTGGTTTTGTCATGGTGTGAACATCCTGGAGTGTGCTTACACAAATGGAGATGGTATAGCCTACCACTCACGGAGGCTGTCTGGCACAGCTTGTTGCTGCTGGGCTATAGACCTGCACAGTGCCCAGGCGCAGTGGCTCACGCCTGTAATTCCAGCACTTTGGGAGGCTGAGGCGGGCAGATCACTTGAGGTCAGGAGTTTGAGACCAGCCTAGCCAACGTGGTGAAACCTCGTCTCTACTAAAAATACACTAATTAGCTGGGTGTGGTGGCGCATGCATGTAATCCCAGCTACTCGGGAGGTTGAGGCAGGATAATCACTTGAACCCAGGAGGCGGAGGTTGCCGTGAGCTGAGATCACGCCATTGCTCTCCAGCCTGGGTGACAAGAGTGAAACTCCGTCTCAGAATAAAACAAAAAAACCTGCACAGCTTGGTACTGTCCTGTAGGCAACCGTGACACAGTAAGTATTTGTGCATCTAAACATAGAAAAGGTGCAGTGGAAATAAGGTCTGAGAATCGTATGGAACCACTGCAGTGTGTGCGATTTGTTGATGACTGGAATGTTGATATGCGGGGCAGGACTGTAATGAAATAATACATATTATTTAAATTAAGTAATGCATATATATTTAAATAACACATATATTCTTTAAATATATATATACTCTATATATACTCTATTTAAGGTATGCGTATGTATATATACATATTTATGACAAAACCATATGTATGTAGGCCGGGCATGGTGGCTCATACCTGTAATCCCAGCACTTTGGGAGGCTGAGGCAGGTGGATCACTTGAAGTTAGGAGTTCAAGATCAGCCTGGGCAACATAGTAAGACCTCATCTCTACAAAAAAAAAAAAAAATTAGGGCCAGGTGCAGTGACTCATGCCTGTAATCCCAGCACTTTGGGAGGCTGAGGTGGGTGGATCACAAGGTCAGGAGATCGAGACCATCCTGGCTAACATGGTGAAACCTCGTCTCTACGAAAAATACAAAAAATTAGCCAGGATGGTGGCGGGTGCCTGTAGTCCCAGCAACTGGGGAGGCTGAGGCAGAAGAATTGCTTGAACCTGGGAGGCGGAGGTTGCAGTGAGCCGAGATCGCGCCACTGCACTCCAGTCTGGGCGACAGAGTGAGACTCCATCTCAAAAAAAAAAAAAATTATTTGAATGTGGTGTTATGCACCTCTAGTCCCAGTGACTTCGTAGGCTGAAGCATGAAAAGCACTGAACCCAGGAGGCAGAGGTTGCAGTGAGCTGAGATCACGCCACTGCACTCCAGCCTGGGCTACCAAAAAAAAAAAAAAAAGAGAGAAACAGGCAAAATTAATTTTAATAATGTGTCCATATAACCCGGTATACCCAAATTATTATTTCAGCATGTGATCAATGTTTTATAATTTATATTATTTTATTCTGTTGACACACAGGTTCTTACCATGTTGTCCAGGCTGGTCTGCAACTCCTGGTCTCAAGCCATCCTCCTGCCTTGGCCTCCCAAAGTGCTGGGATTATAGGCATGAGCCACTGCGCCTAGCCCCTGTAATTTTTACTGAACTATTTTACATTTTTTCTCCACACTGTCTTCTAAATCCCGTGTATGTTTGCTGTTGACAGCACCTCTCGGTTTGGAACGGCCACATTTCAGGGTCTCAGGAGCCACTAGCTGACAACTGCTATATTGGATGGTACAGCACTAGGGTCCCCTTAGCACTGATGAGGAGGTGCTAATCAGAGGGGCTTCCTGGAGGAGATGACATCTGAAGTGAGGCTTATGGGAGCTTCCATAGAAGTTGGGAGCAGGGACAAGACAGGATTTCTAGAGAGAGGGATGGCACATATACTTGCTTTCTCAGCCATTGATTCATTCATTGAATGTACACCTCACCCTGCTGGAGACTACGCCCTGAAGAATGTGGGTCAGAGCAGATCTCTGCCCCTTAGATAACTAGACATTTATAGAGCACCTGCTGTATGCAGGGCACTGTTCTAGGAGCTCCCTCCTGATGCTTATAGTCTGAAGTTGGAGGAAGTTCAACAGTGGAGAGAAATAAAATTGCGACATGGTGAAATGTACCAGAGAGGACTTTTTGAAAAATAACTCTTTAAGCAGAATAATAAAGAATTGACTTTAAGGAAGTGAAACAGAATGGCCTTTCAGAGGTGGCAGGAGCCAAGACGAAGATGACGGGAGGGGTGGCCCCGGCAAGAGGGCACAGCTTGTGTGAAGGTCCTTGAGGCAGGAGGACATGCGTGTTCCCAGAGCAGAATGGAGGCCAGGGGGCCTGGACGGACCTTAGGGGTCTGAGGGGCGACACTGGCAGGGTGGCTGTGACAGGGGCAGAGGGCTTGGTGGGCCATGGGGTGGAGCACCCCCAGCTGGCATCCCGGAGCCCAGGATATGGAAACACAAGGGAGGAGCCCAGGATATGGAAACACATCCCAGAGGGGAGGCTGCTTCACTGAGCCCAGCGAGCGAGCATGGGGTCTGGATGAAGTGGTCACCTTGGAGATGCTCAGGACATGTTCTGAAGGTCAAGTTAAGAGGAGGAGGCAGCCAGGCACAGTGGCTTATACCTGTAATCCCAGCATTTTGGGAGGCTGAGGGTGGAGGATCGCTGGATCCCAGGAGTTTGAGGTTACAGTGAGCTATGATTGCACCACTGTACTGCGCCTGAGTGACAGACTAAGACCCTGTCTCAAAAATAAATAAATAAAAAGGATGAGGCAGTAGCCCAATTGGCGTGAGGATGTCCAGGTTCTGTTTGGAGGAGCAGAGTGAGCAGTGGAATCTGTCAAGGAAGGAATGAAGTCTGGGGTGAGTGGAACAGGGACAGGAGAAGCAGAGAGGGTGGCCGAGAGCATCTAGTCAGATTGTGCTCCAAAGCAGGTGCTGTAGGGCATTGAGGAACATGGAGGAAGCAGAGACCTGGCCTGTAGGATCAGGAAGGCTTTCTGTACTTATTCCATTAGCAGGTCCTGTCAGAGGTGTAGGAATGTCCCAGACAAATTGGGGAGAGGTTGGCAGCCAGGGGACAGGAGGCAGTGGGGACAGGCCATGCGAGAGAGGACGAATCCATGGCTGTGGGGACAAAGGGGGTGAGAACAGCACCCAAGGGTCTGACCTGGTGACTAGGTGGACAGCGGGACCTTCATGGGATTGAGAACTGGGAGAGGAGGCAGTGAGCTCAGTGGTAGGGGTGAGCACCCTGGGGCCAGCCGAGCTCTTCATTCATTCATTCATTCATTCATCACATGTCCGTTGCGTATGGGGAGTGGGGCTAGGAGCTCTCAGGGAGCATGTCCAGGGCCCTGAGGAGCCCCACAGATCAGGGGCCACAGTGGGAGGAGAAAGGAGAGAGGGAGTCAGGGACAGCCCAAGGGTGTGTGCTCTGTGCTGTGGGGCTCAGCAAGCCGTGGTTCTTCCCTCTTTGAAGCTCCCAGCCAGAGAAGGGGTCCTGGCCTGTCCTGAGCCCCAGTGCCTGGGGGCAGAGAAGATCTGCCCTTCCTGCTGGGTGGGGCCGCGCCTGGGAAAGAGAGGGCAGCTGGCTGACTCCCCAGACCCCTCACTGCCCACCCTCTTCCTCCTCTCCCAGGTAAGAGCAAAGAGGCGGAGATTAAGAGAATTAACAAGGAACTGGCCAACATCCGCTCCAAGTTCAAAGGTAGGCTGGGGGCCCAACTTCTGGCTCAGGGCTGGGAGCTGGGGCTCCTGTGACCTATCCTGTGACGTTTCCTCATTTCTGGCTCCCCCTTCCTCCTTCCTTTACCCTAGGAGACAAAGCCTTGGATGGCTACAGTAAGAAAAAATACGTATGTAAACTGCTTTTCATCTTCCTGCTTGGCCATGACATTGACTTTGGGCACATGGAGGCTGTGAACCTGTTGAGTTCCAATAAATACACAGAGAAGCAAATAGTGAGTCTGGAGAGGGGGGTGCCAGGGCCTGGACTCCTGGGTCTAAGGGAGGAGGGGGCTGGGGGTCTGGACTCCTGGGTCTGAGGGAGGAAGGGCTGGGCCTGGACTCCTGGGTCTGAGGGAGGAGGGGCTGGGGGTCTGGACTCCTGGGTCTGAGGGAAGAAGGGGCTGGGGGTCTGGACTCCTGGGTCTGAGGGAGGAAGGGCTGGGCCTGGACTCCTGGGTCTGAGGGAGGAGGGGGCTGGAGGTCTGGACTCCTGAGTCTGAGGGAGGAGGGGCTGGGGGCCTAGACTTGTGGATCTGAAGGAAGAGGGGCTGGGGGCCTGGACTCCTGGGTCTAAGGGTTGAATCTGGGGCCTGGACTTTGTGGATCCGAGGGAGGAGGGGCCTGGGGGCCTGGACTCCTGGGTCTGAGGGTTGGGTCTGGGGCCTGGACTTTGTGGATCTGAGGGAGGAGGGACCTGGGGGCCTGGACTCCTGGGTCTGAGGGTTGAATCTGGGGCCTGGACTTTGTGGATCTGAGGGAGGAGGGGCCTGGGGGCCTGGACTCCTGGGTCTGAGGGTTGGGTCTGGGGCCACTCAGTCACAAGGCTCCTAGCCATCCACGACCTCCCTCCCCACAGGGTTACCTGTTCATTTCTGTGCTGGTGAACTCGAACTCGGAGCTGATCCGCCTCATCAACAACGCCATCAAGAATGACCTGGCCAGCCGCAACCCCACCTTCATGTGCCTGGCCCTGCACTGCATCGCCAACGTGGGCAGCCGGGAGATGGGTGAGGCCTTTGCCGCTGACATCCCCCGCATCCTGGTGGCCGGGTAAGGCAGTGGGGACCCGTTGGCAGTGGGGAGCTTGGGGGTGATGAGTCTCAACCAAGGGCGAGGCTCGGAGAGGCTGTGTCGCCTGCCCAAAGCCTCCTAGCCGGCATGTGGGCTAACGCTGGGCTGGGGACCCGGTGGTTCCGGCGGCAGCCCCATACTTGTGTCTTCCTGTGATACAAAGCTGACTTGACGGTGTGAGGCTGCTTCCCCACAAAGCCAGTGGGGTGCCTCTGAACTGCAGAACTGTAACACCTGTGATAAGAGGGATAACTGTACGCCATGGGTGACGGCCCTCCAGAACTTCCTCATCTCCATTCATTCACCAAACATTTGCTGAGCACATACTATGTGCCAGGCACTGTGCTGATTGCTGGGGATGTTGTCCTGACCAGAGGCGGACATGGTCATTGCCCTCCCGTGTTCATGGTCTGGAGCAGGAGACAAATGGTGATGGAAGAATCGCAGGATGAAGTGTAGAATTTGCCAGGTGTGATGGCTCACGTCATCCGTGCATTTGGGGAGGCTGAGGCAGGTAGATTGCTTGAGTCTAGGAGTTCAAGACCAGCCTGGGCAACATGACAAAATCCCAATCTCTACTAAAAATTCCAAAAATTGCCAGGGCATGGTGGCATGCACCTATAGTCCCAGCTACTCGGGAGGCTGAGGTGGGAGGATCACCTGAGCTCGGGAGGTCGAGGCTGTGAGTTGTCATGGCGCCAGTGTACTCCAGCTTGGTGTGCACACAGGTGGGACGTCTATTTCTGGCAGTATGGTCAACTACGTACCCAACTCATGTTTTCCCTGAAACCTAACTGTCAATATTGGATAAGAGAGGAAAGACAATATTATTTAATGGATTCATGAGGTAGCCAGAAAATGAGAGGAGCACACAGGCCACAAGCAAAGAGGAACCAAGCACCCAAGCAGATGAGCTGTGTGCTGGAGCCAGTGTTTGCTTAGAAGGCATTTGCTGACCTGGGTGAACCCGAGTATCGGTTTTGAGGCCCTGCAGCCTCTGGGAACAGAAGACAAAGCTTGTCCGAGAAGTTCTCGAAGGCTATACTTCAAAGTGAGAGTGACCTAGAAATAAACCCCCTTGGGGACTCTAAGGAAAATTACCTGTCTGAAATTTTGGCATGGAACAGCCCTCAGACTGGTTTTCAGCCTGACTTTACCCTATCTGGGTAGTCCAAAAAGCCCTAAGTCAACCTTTAGTTTAAAGTGATGGAAACTGGAGGTTTCCTAGTGCTTCACAGAAGCAAACATGATACTTTTCTGAGGAAACCCATTTTCTTTTTTTTTTTTTTTTTTTTTTTTTTTGAGACGGAGTCTCGCTCTGTCGCCAGGGCTGGAGCGCAGTGGCCGGATCTCAGCTCACTGCAAGCTCCGCCTCCCGGGTTCCCGCCATTCTCCTGCCTCAGCCTCCTGTGTAGCTGGGACTACAGGCGCCCGCCACCTCGCCCGGCTAGTTTTTTGTATTTTTTTAGTAGAGACGGGGTTTCACCGTGTTCGCCAGGATGGTCTCGATCTCCTGACCTCGTGATCCGCCCGTCTCGGCCTCCCAAAGTGCTGGGATTACAGGCTTGAGCCACCGCGCCCGGCCGGAAACCCATTTTCACCACAAGCTTCAGTGATATCCACAGATAAAGCTCCAAGTTGGCCGGGCGCGGTGGCTCAAGCCTGTAATCCCAGCACTTTGGGAGGCCGAGACGGGCGGATCACGAGGTCAGGAGATCGAGACCATCCTGGCTAACACGGTGAAACCCCGTCTCTAATAAAAAAAAAAATACAAAAAAAAACTAGCCGGGCGAGGTGGCGGGTGCCTGTAGTCCCAGCTACTCAGGAGGCTGAGGCAGGAGAATGGCGTGAACCCGGGAGGCGGAGCTTGCAGTGAGCCGAGATCTGGCCATTGCACTCCAGCCTGGGTGACACAGCAAGACTCCGTCTCAAAAAAAAAAAAAAGCTCCAAGTGACATGAGTAGCTCAGAGCCAAAAATCTCTAAACACACACAAGACACCATGAGAGAGAATCAGCAGACAGCAGAAATAAAACAGAAGGCTGGGTGTGGTGGCTCACACCTATAATCACAGCACTTTGGGAGGCCAAGGTGGGCAGATTGCCTGAAGTCAGGAGTTCGAGACTAGCCTGGCCAACATGGCGAAACCACATCTCTAGTAAAAACACAAAAATTAGCCAGGCGTGGTGGCGCACGCCTGTAATCCCAGCTACTTGGGGGACTGAGGCAGGAGAATCACTTGAACTTGGGAGGCGGAGGTTGCAATGAGCCGAGATCGTGCCACTGCACTGCAGCCTGGGTGACAGAGCAAGACTCTGTCTCAAAAAAAAAAAAAAAAAAAAAAAAAGAAAACAGAAAATAACTTTGGAATTGGAATTATACAGCATGTAAAATAAGTATATTTCATATGTTTCAATAAATAACAGAAGCATTTTAAAATATGAGTAAAGTTTAAGCAGATTTGAAAATATAATTGAAATAGTCAAAAATTGCCAGGCACAGTAGTAGTGGCTCACACCTATAATCCAGGCACTTTGGGAGGCTGAGGCGGGACGATCACTTGAGGCCAGAAGTTCAAGATCAGCAACATAGTGAGACCCTATTGCCACAAAACCTAAAATATTAGCCAGGTGGGGTGCCGTGTGCCTGGGTAGTCCATCTGGGAGGCTGAGGCAGGAGGATTGCTTGAGCCTGGGAGGATGAGGCTGCAGTGAGCTGTGATCCCATCACTGCACTCTAACCTGGGCGACAGAGCAAGACCCTGTCTAAAAAAACAAACAAACAAATATTTAAAAAAATAAAAATTAAGTGTCCACTTTAGTTAGCAGAGTAGACACAGCCAAAGCCAGAATTAGTGACCAGGCAGTAGAACTGAAGAAAGACATCAAAATGCATCCCAAAGAAACAAAGCAATGGGGATTTTAGGAAAGAGACTGAGACTCATGGAAGACAGAGAACATCTAACAGAATGCCGTTTAGAGTTGTAGGGAGAAATTGTGACAGAGGCAGTGTTCGAAGAGAGATAATGGTTGAAACTATTCCAGAACGAATGAAAGAGGATGATCCCCAGATTCAAATAGCCCAGGAAATCATAAGCAGAAGTACAGACTGTAAGGGGTGACTGTGGGGCAATAAGACCAGCCAGGCATCCATCACCAGGTCCAGGTCAGAGCTTGTGGTGGCTTGGACCAGGGCTGTGGCGGTCATGTGGTTATGAGAAGGGCATGTTTCGGGAGTAGAGTCGATGGATTATATGTGCTGTGCTAGGATGAGGTGGGGACATTTAGTAGGTGAGTGAATGGTGTCAGACCTTGCAGCAGTGTCACGAAGGCTACAGGAAAATGGGTCAGAGAGGGCAGAACCTGAGTGTGGTTTGGTCATGCTGAATTTGAGATGTGTATTAGACATCTGAGTAGGACTCTGCGGAAGAAGCTGCATTGCAGGGAGTCAGAGCAGGAGGGAGAGAGATCTGAGAGAGATCAGCACCGTCCAATAAAAATATAATGCAAAATACAGGCGCGGCACGATGGCTCATACCTGTAATCCCAGCAACTGGGGAGGCTGAGGCGGGCAGATCATTTGAGGTCAGGAGTTCGAGAACAGCTTGCCCAACATGGTGAAACCCCGTCTCTATTAAAAATACAAAAATTAAGTGTGGTGGTGAGCACCTGTAATCCCAGCTACTCAGGAGGCTTAGGCAGGAGAATTGCTTGAACCCAGGAGGCGGAGCTTTCTGTGAGTGGAGATCACGCCACTGCACTCCAGCCTGGGTGACAGAGTGAGACTCCATCTCAAAAAAAAATTAGCAGGGTGCAGTGGTGCACACCTGTAGTTCCAGCTACTCAGGAGGCTGAGTCAGGAGAATCACTTAAACCCAGCGGGCAGAGGTTGCAGTAAGCCAAGATTGCACCACTGCACTCCAGCCTGGGTGACAGAGCAAGACTCCATCTCAATAGAAAAAAAAAAAAAGGCCGGGCGCGGTGGCTCAAGCCTGTAATCCCAGCACTTTGGGAGGCCGAGACGGGCGGATCACAAGGTCAGGAGATCGAGACCATCCTGGCTAACACGGCGAAACCCCGTCTCTACTAAAAACACAAAAAATTAGCCGGGCGAGGTGGCGGCGCCTGTGGTCCCAGCTACTCGGGAGGCTGAGGCAGGAGAATGGCGGGAACCCGGGAGGCGGAGCTTGCAGTGAGCTGAGATCTGGCCACTGCACTCCAGCCTGGGCGACAGAGCGAGACTCTGTCTCAAAAAAAAAAAAAAAAAGGCAAAATACAAAAATGTGTGCTTGTAATCCCAGCTACTTGAGTGACTGAGATGGGAGGATTGCTTGGGCTCAAGAGGCCCAGGGTACAGTGAGGAGGCCTGGGCTGCAGTGAGCTGTGATCGTGCCTGGGTGACAGTGAGACCCTGTCTGAAAATAAAAAAAGCATATATATAAAAATATATATAAAATGCAAGCCACATAGGTATTTTTCTCTTTTCTAGCGTGTAATAGTTCAGTTTAACCTGATCCACCCAAAATGTTATCACTTTGACACTGAATCAGCATAAAAATTATTCATGAGCTATTTGATTTGACATCCATGTTTGGTGCTAAGTCTTTGGAATGCGGCGTTTTGGTGTCTCTCAGTTTGGATTCGCAGCAGTCCCAGTGCTCAGTCGCCACACGTGGCTGGGGGCTATTGTATCTGACAGCATGGGGATCGATGGCAGTTATAGCAGTTAAGCAGTGAAGCCCTTGAGGGCAGATGTTAACCGGGAATCCACAAAAGCTGGGCCCTTGAGTGGTCCCAGTGCAGCCCAGTGTGTTAACACTCTGCTGGCAGGGGGGATGGGAGGCGTGATGGGGTGTGGGAGGAAAATCAGGTTCAGGCCATGACTCAGAACGCTGAGAACTTTGATGGAGGAGGGAGTGGCCAGTCGCGAATGCTGCCAGCAGTTTCTTTTTTTTTTTGAGATGGGAGTCTTGCTCTATTG